GCGTAATTCTTTGAGCTTAGATAAAAGTTTATTGTTAAACAGCGTCTCAACATGCAAAAGTATTTTCTTTTTGCATGCATAGCGATGGATCAATCGTGTACAAGTTTGTAGCTTTTTCCAATAGTTATGGCACGGATTGCTCATGTTTTGAACATTTATGTATTTCAGGTTCTTAACGCGTCATGATTATAAATCCAACGATCACTACGAGGTGATGACTTTGCTAAGTTAAGAAAGACTGCTAACGAAGCCAAACACCGAATGAATGCTAGTATTGCCCACTAAAGCAGTTGTCAATAGTTCCCATGCAAAATTCAGGCTATCATACTATATCATTATTATATGGGGTTTTTTTTCGGTAAATTTGATAATGTAGCTATAGTTTGCTAATATTATTCAAAGGCAGTTTGTGTACTGTTCTTAAATAGAAAAATGCAAAATTATATACAAGATTTATTACGCTTGGTGTCCTAAGGTGCGTTCAATAAAACGAAAACAGTAAGTATCATGTGTTTGTGACGAATCTGTTACACAGTTTGTGAGGATTCTAGGAAACCTTTTGTGCTTTGTGACGAATCTGGTAAACGTTTTGTACCTTGTGAATTGCTGTTAAATATTCTGTTCTTTGTGACTACTCTGTTAAACAATTTTAGTTTTGTGACGTCTCTAGCATGTTTTGCTGTTAAATATATACATCACATAGCCTTCTACAAGTTAGGTATTCATAAATAAATTTATAAAAAGTACTCATTTGATAATTACAAACATACAATCAATATAGCTTCCTCTTTGCTGTATGTTTAATATGTCATCTGAACTATATGATATCGATTTTTAAACTGATAGGCAAATTACAGGTTCCGTGGCTCTGTTGATCGTCTTTGCTGTCATCGTTATTACAGCAATGGGGCAGTGAAAACTTTTATATCATGCAAACGATATCACAAACTAATTTGCTTTTTAATTGCAACTCATAATCAATAATAAACAATAACTAGTTTAGACACGTACTAACATTCAGCAACCTACCAACCTTAAATATATTAACGGCAAGGCAGCTTACATTATATGGGCTTTTGATTTATTGTTTGAGTTTGAAGGTAACGAAACTTGGTAATCTCAACTGGCATACCGCTATTATTTTAAGCTTTTCTTAAACTTTAATTTTCGAGATAATTAATATTAAGATGAATTGTGTAAGAATCGAACGCATTACCTATTAACGTTTCCTTCACCATTGCGTTTTCAAGCATGTAATATTTCACATGCACTTTAAATTAATTACTAGAATATACCATATTAAGTTTTGTAGTATTTAGACGTCAATACATAGACGTTATCGGTTTGAATGGAGCAATGACCATCTTCTTGGAATATGCATTGTGTGGCAAATATAATTCATGATAGGAGGCTCCATTTTATGAAATCACAACCCATAAGCTTGCGCTGGCAACCTCAGGCCGCTGCATGCGCTCATCTTGTGCTTTTAATGAGATCTCGTGTCTCCTGACTCATTTCTTCTCTTTCCTCTTTGGTTGGGCTTATGTCATTTTCCACCCAAGCTAGTTTCCTCTCTACTATGTGCTGTAGTTATCGAACACTGTAAGCTTCGCTAGTTTGGCATTGTGCATGACCTATGAAGTGTTCGTTGATACCAAGATCTCTTGCAAAGGGAGACTGCCAGGTTACTGTGCCGTTGCATCTTTCAGTGATGTATCCTCGGATCTCGGTATTGTCATTTTTTCCTATTCAGACTACGTGCTTCTGTGCTACGGTTGGTAGTGACTCATCTTTAAGAGCTACACTCAAACCAAATTAATCACTACTTGTCTTTGTAGTATATATGGAGACAAAAATATTCTTGGATCGTTTTTATGTTAGCAAGGTAGGTATACATTTTCTACACTTTACTTGAGATTGATGGTATGCTTTTTAGGAAGCAAACTCGATCCATTTCTTTCACTCAGCCGAGCGTAAGGCTTAAAGGAGGGGTTCCTAGTACCGTTGTTGTGGCTAAATAAGCAGCTTTTTGTCAGGTGTCCACACATCAACAGCAACAACGTCATTGTACACAGTACTGCCAAGCTGGTAGTCACAGTTGCGTTTAGAGGCGACTAACTAGCGCCAGATATCATTTTTACAATTTTAAAACCCTCGACCATGCCCTTGTCAAGACGTGTAAAGCTTTTAGGAAAGACGCTGACCTTCATTGACTACGTCGATGTTTTGATCTTTTACAAGGGTCTCCGACAGAAGTGTAAAAAGCGACTAACATTGCTTATCAGGCTATATAAGAAAACGCTGACACTGGAGATATGTCTGTCGACGCTAGAAAGGCAGTGGCTGATACCAAGCAAAATGTATCTATATATACCATGTCTAGGAACCACTACTTTGTGCCGTTTGATTTCGAGCTGCTAAATCATCAAATGTCTTATTAACAGTTTGGCCTTTCAGATCACCTCTACTTGACTCTTAACGATTAGGGCAGAATGATTCAAAGTATTAATAATACGGAGGCCCGTTTAACCTCCACCGGCATATGTCTGGATGCCGACATGAGTATTCATGAAGAGCCTTATTCAGGCAGCAACTACATGAGAAAAGTGTCTTGTACAGCCGAGTGCTGCGCCATCACATAATGGTGGTGAATGAGAAATTGGAACATCAAACTAAACACGCAGGCAAAAAGCATGAAGGTGATAATCTTGCACTAAGAGTTAAAGCGAGATTTTGAATTTCTCTGCAACTCGTTTATCAACAACATATTAGTGCCAATCGAGAACATACCATACCATATTAATGCCCAGAAGAAATCACAATATCAACAGTTGGCTAAGGCGCTAAATATAATGGCTAGGGAATATTTCAAACCTACAAAGTTGCTGTCGATTGAAGCGGCCTTTAAAGGAAAGTCCATACACTTCATTATTCAGTAAGATAAATCGGAAACTCTGCAACTGAAATAATGGCTCCGGTGACATGTATGCAAACCAGTTACATGGTGCAACTAAACATGCAAAATGGCCAGTTCTTGTCAACCATCTATTAGCTGCCGTTCCAAGAAGCGATTTTTGATAACGTAGCGCCACCATGCACCGTGATTATGGCTTCAGGAAGAGCATACTGAAATAATCGAAATTTAATGGTCACTGGTTTAATTGTCATAGTCTGAACTATTAAAGAGCTGAATATGGTATGCACTGGAGGTCAGAATCTAGATGGAATGTTTTGTGCACATATTAACGCTAAAAATGATACAGATCTATACTTGACGACTGCGTCTTCCTTTCTGGCCTCGGGCACAAGGAAACGGCCTGGGCCATTAATTAGCCGTCATGCCGGCATCATAGTACGTATTTTAAATGCAATATCCTTGCCTGTAATGTCTGCGAGCAGGCATCGTTGACAAATATGTTTCTGCTGAAAAGACGAAGACTCCTTTACTGATACACTATGAGAAAACTATCATTGAATCCGAGCGTCGAGCTGAGATCGACGCGTGACGCGTAAAAGTGGCGTTTTCGCAAACTACTGCTGTGCATAGGCCAACAATTATCCTACCAGGTGTGTTCCCGGCAATCTGCACTTGTGCTAGTTTGCTAAAGCTAGTATAATGCAGTCCACATTATGACATTTAGAACCTTGAGCTGCTATTTCTATTATCTACTTAGTGTTAATAGATTACCTAAGAATATTCAGAACTTTATAAGAAAAGTAGCGACAGCTATATGTGACATGGATGTTTTTGAGATACTATATGTTTAGACAGTTCAACAACGAAACACGGACAGGCCATCATTAGATCACACATGCAGAAAATCAATACTTGCACGTGAGCGTGACCGCCTCTCGGAGTTGGTACTTCCCGAGGTAGAAAAGTGCATAGGCCGGTCTTTACCTCTCCGGGCTTTATAGAGATTAGCAATTAAAAGGTAAGCAATACCTCTGCCATATACGCAGCTAAAATGGTGTCAGGATGACTGATTCGTTAATATTTTGTTTCTACTTGAACCGTGGACAGTAGATTTATGCTAATTTCTACTTAGATGTAACAGAAAAAAGGTTTACTAGTAAAAAATATCCGATTATCAAGACCTCGTTTTCAAAGATCAGCACTATGTTTAATATTGGTATAGTGCGTTACTGACACCAATTTCAGCATATATGATTACATATCAAAATTGTGAATATGAAAATAAAATAGACAAGAAATTACAATCATAACTAATAGCACAACTGACATTGGATATGGCACCACAACCTACAAATGATTGATCAGCAGAACAGTCTCAGGAAATAACAATTGTTACCAAGGTTAAACAGCCACGTGGAGCTGATGCTGGTAAATGAATTGCAGAGGTGGTGAAACAACGCCAGGCTTATAAAAAAAGCTGTTATGCACAATGATCCAATAGCGCAGAAGCGGCTGAATAAAAACGGTAGCAAATGCCATTTTTCTTTGATAGCTCACCTTCTATTTATTTTATTCTGCGCACTAGCACAAGTACATGGAACACATGTGAAATAGTCATGGGAACAAGCACAGGTAACAAAGTCTACGTCTGTTGATGCATCAAAACGACAAGAATCGCATGTCTTCACTGCGATTAAACATCCTCCAGACCCATGCAATTGTAAGTGGTTTTCGTTATCAAGTATAAACTTTTTAAACGCGTGACGCAAATTCATGGTGTCTACACTACTTTTTAGCAACCAAGTAAATGATTTTTAGCATGGGGTAGTACTTATGTGTGTGTGTGTGTGTGTGTGATTTTGATTTTTAACGTAGCTTAAACAATTTAACAATTTTTCAGTCATATCGCTACGATGTCTGCAGTGCGGCAGTTTATAGTGATGTTTAGCACTGGGGTATCTTGCCGCAGACATGTAGCAAAATGTCCCACCCAGTCACATTATCCTGACACCAGGCTGGCCAGATTCTTAATGCTGAGCACCAAGCGAGAAAGCTGTTAATACTATTTTGTAAGTCTTTGGTATGACTCAACCGGGGTTCGAACCAACGACCCGACCTCCCGCATCCGAGGCGGACGCTCTAACCACAAGGCCACCGGAGCGTTGATATATATATATATATATATATATATATATATATATATATATATATATATATATATATATATATATATATATATATATATATATATATATATATATATATATATATATATATATATATGTTGCATATCGAAGTTCTCTTGCCAATGCATACGTATGTAATAGAGAATCACCAAGGCATGTATAGAAATTGTCGAATTAGTCAATTGCTCTGCTCAACGTCACAGAGGATGATAACAAAATCTGTTTCGTGATGCCAGCCGACATGTATCAGACTAAGTAACGTTGCTTTTTGTTGCTTCTTTCTATTTACTTGTCATGGGGTTCCGAGTGGCCGAGTGGTCTAAAGCGCTCACCGTTACGGATCACTGCCATCTCACCTATGTGAGATCGAGTCTCGGGTTCTACCAATGTCGGTATGTGAGAAAGCTTGCCAGTAGCTTCTCGTGGGTCGGTGGTTCTTTCTGGGGTTTTCCCGGGATGTTCTTCCACAATTTATACTGGCTGCCATGTATAGCCTATCTTTACTGCAAATGGCGTTAAACCCTTAAAAAAACAACAAAACAACAACAAATATACTTGCCATTGACAGTACTTTTCGATTTCCATGATGTCTACTGTATTTAATTTAAACAAATCAGTTTTCTGTGAACTTACTAATCTTTCTTATCTGCACTGCCTTAAAGTATACCATATATTCTAACAACTTTGAGAAACAGCTCAAAAGTATTTTAACTAACCTATATTGTCGTTGAACAGCTTTAAATAGCATTTGTCTTCAGCACACTTTTACCTTTGCCCTATAAAAATACATTATAATTAATAAACTCTTATGGCGTTATCTTCCTTAGAGACATTATTTCAGGGTCACTAAGTTTATATTCTTTCCTTAAACTCCTTTTGGCTCTTTACCATTTGAATGATTTTCTTTCGATTTTCGGGGCCCCGAGTGGCCTAGTGGTCTAAAGCGCTGTCCGTTACTGATCACTGCCATCTCACCTCTGTCTGCATGGGTTCGAGTCTAGAATTCGGCGAATGTGGATATGTGAGAAAGCTTGCCAGTAGCTTCTCGTGGGTCGGTGGTTCTTTCCGGTGATTTCCCGGTTTCTTCCTCCACCATTAATACTGGCCGCCATAAATAGCCTATCGTGTGCTGAAAAATGGCGTTAAGCCCAACAACAACAACATCTTTCGATTTTCATTGGAAACCGTTATTTATTTCAATGGATTATTTCATTAACTTCTTCTTCTTCTCAATGTTATTAAATATATTTATAATAACAGCTGTAATATTATGGCTTTTATCATTATATTTTAATTAATTACTTGCTAGACACCGAGAAGCTAGAATCTTGCAACTTTTGTAACTAAGCTCAGCTTCCAGTAATTAGGATGCAGAGACTGCTACTGACGAGTATATCCGTTATATTGTCACCTAAACCAGTCTTCAGATCCTTGTAATCAGACGTTAAAAGACAATATAAAGTTGCGCAAAAAGATACACCCTAGATTCTAACATTTCTTTTGCTTCTCAAATACTTAACCAACATACTCCGGAATCTCCTATTGACATGACTTTTATAAGATTTCCATAATTGCAACATCATCATGTGACACTGCATCAAAGCTTCCACGGGTTTCCTGTATATAATATACGTTATTTCGTCTTCGGTTGCCATATACAAGAATTTCTGCCACGCATCCTAACATTAGCTATTAAATAGCTACTGATGGTTTTCCATGATGAGGTCATAAATTGAGAACTTAAACATCTAATAAGAACCCACAAGATTTAATAAGCATCATAAATCAATGAGTAAAGTACATAATAAAACTCTACAGATGCGTACAAAACTTGTGTCCATATAATTGTGTGGCTTTGTATAAAAAAATGTAACTACAAGACAATATGAAAATAATGCCAACTATAAGGAATAGCTAGCTTGTATAAAACTTGTATTTAATGAAATTGTTTTGAAAATTGTCCTTATCGACGAATTTGTATTTTCAATAGAACATTTTATGGTTTAATCGAGGCTGAAAGAGCAGTAATACGGAGCTGTGAATTCAGATTGTATCTTGAACTGTCTTTTTGCATTAGAATAAACCAGTCAAAAACTTACAGGCAGATTCAACAGTAAAACTTCTGTTGAAGACATCAGTGTTTGATATCATTATATAATCTATTCTTTTGTAATAACCACATGAAATATTTTTGGCAGTCTTCCTCAATCAAATTTTCTAAATGGTTCTGTCCATTGACAGATCAGTTTCATTTTGCCCTGCTTTTCCACGAAAACTAAGGCATAGTATACTATATAAGTATGTTGTCTATCCTTCCGTCTACCCATTCATCAGACCGTCACGCTTTCATTTCCGGCCTATAACTTTAAAACCAAACTGAAATTAAGAGAGGACACTTGGTTCATTCATACATGATCATTATAACGTATGGTGTATGCCATACTGGTGGGGGGGCTATCTAAAAGGTCAAGGTCACATATTAGTATGTATGTTTTCCCTCACAATCTTCCTTCCTATGTATAATTTTCGAGCCATTTGAGATTGCAGACCTATATAATGTGATTTTAAGGCGTTTTGCGTATAACAATGGTTTTCTTGTTTTCAGGCTCAAACGCATCGCTTCATATTTTAAGCTTTCGATCCACTTTTCCTTTCCATATTATAATTTTAGAGGTATATAAGATAGTGAGATGATATTTAGTAAATTAGAAGGTGTGTATTGTACCACGTTGAGAGGTATAGCATTAAGGACAAGGTCACGGTTTTAGTTTTCAGACACAGCTTCGAATTCCGATCTGTTACTTCACAGCCCAGAGATGAAACTTTGTAAATGTATATGTAAGTGCTATGTTGCCACACCGTGGAGCCTGTCCTTAATATAAAGGTATAAAGGTCGGTATAGTAAGGTTTCCATCACATTTACCTTCCCATCTTTAACTTTATGGCTGTTTCAGTATTATGATCTAGAAATCTCCTGGCGTAGTACATTAGGAGTCAAGCTTTCAGGAGCAGGGCAATAGAAGAATATTTTAAGTTTTCTATCATACTTTCCTTTTCTCTCTAAAGCATGAATGCCGTTTGAGATTAAGAGATGAGGAAAACAATAGCGTTTTGATAATAAATATTAGATTATCTCTTTCAAAAGAGTAAACTTTAGAAAACTCTAAAACCATGAATACAATATAATTCCCTCTCCCACTCACCACCCAAAACAAAAAAGATATATTACACTAATCATGCATTATTGATTTCTCTTCGAAGACAAGTATTCCGATTTTACCATGCCATGATTAATTTAGAGAAAACAATCACAAATGTTTGAACTGTTATAAATTGACTCCTTTATGTTGAATTTATAACGAAACTAATTCTATGAAATTTTCTTTATTCAGTCAACATCGATTATAGCGAATAATATAATCAGCAATGTTGACTGTTATTAAATGAAAGATTTATCGTGTTCGATTTATTTGGGGTTTTTCTGACATCAGACATGTTAATGTATATTTAATTAAATTTTTTGTTTGTTAGTTTTTTTAATGGATTTGACATTTTCCAGACATTTAGTTTAGTTCTGTTTGACCTGACGTTTTATTTTACTGATTAACAGCCAATAATAGAAACAGTTTGTCTAGTTTCTGACCTTGATTCAGAACTAGTGACAGTTGTGGTAAATATTCTTAAAAAATAATTTCTAATACTAAGACGTGTTAAGTTGAGCACGTGAAAGGAAACATGTATTTATTGTTAGAAACTTCTTGAATTGTGACTCTCATCTGGGAATATGTTTTGCGTCTTAAATTAGTATATAAATGTTGTCTTGATAGAGATAGTTTAGTTGGACTCCAAACACATATTGTGAGCAGTTTGAGTTGAATTTTTATATCGAATTTTAAGCGATTATTTTCCCTGGAAATACAAGTGTTTCAACAAATTCTTAAATAAAGACAGTCACTGGAATTCATTTGGAATTTAAAACTGGAATGTTATTTTATCTGATGCAATAAAGAACTGTTGGCACAACAGTCCTTCGCAGATTACAACAAACGTCATCGCATTCAATTTTTGTATTTCATCCGGACTCGAACTCAGATTCATTTAGGACTTTTTATTACTAGAACTTCTATATTTTAATTCGTGGATTAATTTTGGATTTAATTCGTAAAACCTAAGAATTTTTCTCAGTTTTACATTGATTTTCTAGGGAAATAAATTATTTGTTAAATTTTACAAAGCTTGTTATGTTCATTCTTTTCTCTTACGTTTTGGAAGAGCCTAGACACGTAACACATGTTTTATCCAGTCTGGTGTTACACATTACTTAAAATATTCGGAAAGAAAGAGCAATGATTGTGAAAGTCACACCACTCTTCAAAAGTAATGTCAGTCACAACTTCAGTTTCCATTCGTTTCCTGACTATTTAAAGTCACGATTGTAACTAATGAACACAGTACTGAAAGGCTTTTAAACTTTGTAAGAGATATGTAAGGCGATACAAAGAGAAAATCAAATAAAGAATATATTTGAGAAACAAACGAGTAACAGAAAGTAACCTTATCTAAAATGGATTGGAAACATTTCTACCAGTGATTTATATAAAGAACTGTTACGAGTGAAGGCATCAGCCTGCACAATCTCATTATGAATTCGTCTGATGAGAAGCAAAACTTTCCCTAGCTCTTGACTTTGTCGTTGCAATAGTCCTTCAGAATCTATCTGAAGATTCTAAGTGTGTAATAAAAAAAACAAGTACATAAAATTGCGCCAATTTCTTCCAGAGCGCATCTATTAAAATCATTCTGATATGTTTCTCTGCAAGACTTTTGTGTAGATACCTATTAATGTATTAGTGCAAAAAAGTAACTAACATGATTTCAGTGAGTCTGAAATGCAGAAAAAATGAGAATGTTTCTCGAGTGAAGCCAATTAACATTCGCCGAAACGGCAAGTTGATTCTCACTAAGACGAATCTAT